TCCTCTCCCTTTCTCTAACTCTGTTCTTCTCTGGTCAAAATAAAATAAGTAAATAAATAAATAAATAAAGTTAAATAAAAACAATTATTTTAAAAAAGAATTAGTTATTTAAATATTTTTAAAGAATTATTTATTTAATTCCATTTGTTATTATTTTTTAATTTGATCAGAGAGAGAAAGAAAGGGAAAGGGAGAAAGCAGACTGCCAGGTCGAACCACAGTTGGCCATGTGGATGTGGGAATCCAGCCCCTTTGGCCACCATGTCACCTGCTGGGCCCTAGTTATTGAATTTTATTAATTATTATTATTACTTTAAATTTGACATAGGGCATGTGCACTTACCAGAAAGAGACACACAGAGACAGAGGGAAAGTGAGAAAGCAAGCTGCCAGGTTCAGGACTTGAACCATGTTGACCATGTGGGAGTCCAGCACCTTAACCACCATGCCTCCTGCTGTCCCCCAAAAATAATATATTCTAAAGTTCTTAAATCATGTGACTAGGGTCAGCAGGTGGCATGGTGGTGCTAGACTCTTACATGGCCAGCTGCAGTTTGTGTCCCGGATCTGGCAGTTTGAAAATTGTGACGGAGGGGAACCAGCAGGTAGTATGGTGGTTAAGGTGCTGGACACTCCCACATGGTCGACCATGGTTCAAGTCCTTGGACCTGGTGGCTTGCTTTCTCACTTTCCCTCTCTCTCTCTCTGGTCAAATTAAAATAAATAAATGAATAAATAAAATTAAAAAAGAAAAAGAAAAAAGGAAATCATGACAGGTGTGTGTGCATGCATGATCAAAGTCCTGACAGGAAAATGGAAGAGAAGGGATTGTGCATGGTCGTCACTTCTGCAGGGGAGGGTGATTTCCACCTTTCCCTCTTTCTGTCTCTGTCTTTCTGATGAGTGCATGTGCCCTATGGTAAAAAACTTTTAAAAAAAATCATGTGGCATTTTGTCATAAAATGTACCCTTTGTTTCATTTTTGGTAGCTCTTTAGCTCTAGGTATGTTTACATTTTATTTGTTTTCTTTTAATTGCCAGAGGTGTTTGGGGTTCAGAAAGAGAAACAGAGAAAAAGAGGGAGAAAGCAGCCCGCAGTGAGGCATGGTCATACTGCAAACCCAACTCCATTTCTCTGTCCTGCACAGTCATGTGAGATTTGACTCCCTTAACCACTAGGCTATGCCCCTCCCATCCCCCTTTTGGTGCGCTTACATTTAAAATTTGCTCACCAGCTTGGTTTATACTTGGGTCAATAATGATAGTTTAGGGGGAGAATACACATACAGAGCTGGGAAATATGGATTTGGGTGGATTGCCATCCTACTTTGTTGTAGAAAACAAAACAGTTATTTTAATAAAGTGGAGTTATTAATAAGGGATAGACATTTGGAAGAAATAAGCAATAGGAATGCAGACTACCTCATAAACTTTCAGCCACTACAGCGGAGAGTTTTTGAGGTTTTCCCTCTTATAACACTTTTTCAGTGAGTATGTCTACATTTTTTTTTTTAGTTTTTTTTCTTTTGCTATAGGGCGCGTGCGCTCGCCAGACAGAGAGAGACAGAGAGACAAAAAGTGAGAAATCACCCCCCAGGGGGGATGGTCAAGCTGCAATCCCTTCTCCTCCATTCTCCTCTCGGGATCTTGGGCACGCACGCACACGTGCCCGGCGTGAGTTTTAAGCCACCGGGTCTGGGACACGAACCGTGGTCGACTACGTGGGAGTCCAGCGACATAACCATTACGCTAACTGCTGGTTCCCAGCAATAACTAATTCTTTAAATTAAAGAAAAAGAGAGAATATATTATTCTCAGGCTGGCCCCATGGCCTGGTAGTTAAGGGAGCTAGATCCCACATGATCAACTGCAGTTCAAACCCTGGACCCAGCAGCTTGAGAAACATGCCAGGCATGTGTGTTTGTATGCATGCATGTGTGTGTGCCTGTGTGTGCATACATATCCAAAATGGAAGAGAAAGGATTATAACATGACCATGTCCCACTGGAGAGTGTTTTCTACCTCTCCCTCTCTCTCACTCTGTGTTTCTCTGTTTCTCTCCACACATGCCCTTTAGCAATTTTTTTTAAAAAAAGAATATATCGGAGCCGACTGGTGGCATGGTGGTTAAGAGCACTGGATTCACACATGGCCGACCACGGTTCGAGTTCTGGACCTGGAGGCTTGTTTCCCGCTTTCCCTTTCTCTCTCCTTGCTTCTCTCTGGTCAAAATTAAAAAAAAAAAAAAAATGATAATAGCAACCAATGGAATTAAATAAATAAATAAATAAATAAATATTTTTAAAAGACTGTCAACTTCTTTAAAAAAAAAAGACTATCTCATTCTGCTGACATATAATTAATTCTTGATGTGTACGTTTGCACACGTGCAAAATGTATTTACACAGTACCAACATTGAAGATATGATCAAATTAGAATATTTAAAATATTACATGTTCATTATTTTTAATGAATGTTAATTTTACAAAGCAGGAAGCAGCTAAAATAAACATTAAACATTCAAAATACATAAAGAGAGTACAGTGTTTGATCACGATTTGTCACCTACATGTACGTAAGGCCTTGCAATCGATTCTGCAGTTGCTGCACAGTGGGGGCCTCAAGGCCTGTTAGATATCTGATTCCTGTGCTCTGCAACAGATCTAACTCCAGTACCCAGCAGGGCTCAGGGTCATCCTTAGGTCATGGTGGTTAAAGATGGCTGTCAATTGCCTGCTTGGCCTAGCTTTCAAATCTCCTTTATCTCTCTGTTATATTGATGATTCCCAGTGATAGTTTAAGAAATTAACCACACCATCCATATGCATCTTAATGCTATGTTTTGTGGCACAAAAGTGACTGTATTAAAAGCTCAGTGTGTTGTATATGAAAGTCTGCTAGCCTTTGAAAGCTAAGAACTGGAACTGGAACAAATATACTTTTATTTGAATAAACAGTTATGGTTCCATGCTTTCTTGCAAATTTAAAAAAGAGGAGATTGTAACAAAAACAAGTTGCAACTAGCTGATTCTGCCTTCTCTCAGTCCAAAGGTTATTATTATTCAGTCAAAAATATGCAGTGAAAAAGAGTAATTGCATAAAAAGACATTATAATCCTGAGAGTATCCACCTGGTGGTTTTTATTTTGATGAATACCCTCTAGGATCCCCACGCCTGCACAACATAATGTTTGTCACAAGTCTCCATAGCTAAGGAGGAAGACAAGACTTAATTGTAAATGTGTGCATGCTTTATTGCCAATGCAATGGCATGAACACATTTAACAGGATTGTCATTCCATTTAATTACTCTGATTTTGATATGAACCTATCACAGATAAAATTGATGAGTTGTGAGGACCATTTTTTAAAACTGTCATTGCTTTCTTTTTAAGGAGTTTTTGGGGTTTTTTTTGTGTGTTTTTTTTTTAAGAGGCTTTTGCTATAGGGTACATGTGCTCACCAAAAAGACAGAAGAGAGACAG